GAGTTTTGAGCAAAAAAGTAGCGACCTTTTTTTATTTTCCCCTATGCAAGTTTTGTAAAGAAAAGTTACTGTTTTAGAGTAAATGCGTTGCGTAAAGCTTACGTACGTTAATGTGTTAGATATCACATTAACCCATTCTTTATCAGATTTTTTTTTTAATTTCAGACCCAAAAAATTTTTTTTTCAACTGCTGAGAATTAATATATGTTCTATCCTAAATTCAAATATGCAAAATATTTTTGTCAGCAAGCGGTTTTTTGCTTGACCCATTGGTGGTGAAATATGTGATATACTGTCCGCTGTTCACCAGTCTTCCCTGCAATGCATCCAAGTCTTATCTTTTAAAAAAATACACTGTGAAAACATATTCATTAACTCTATTGCTCTTAGGTGTTTAAGATAAATATCTGCGTAAAATAATTATTAAAATTAGGTAAAAGATATTTTGGAAACTAATTTTCTAACCTTATTGTTAAAACAGCTTTAAAATTAGTCTTGGGCATTAAATCGTAAAAATCACATTTATCACAAAATTTAAATAATTTATTATAGATTACATGTAATGGTAACACTAAGGAAAGAGAAATTGCAGAAAGTACAAAATAATTTTGATTTCAATTCAAGGCGGGAAATCTCACTGAGAAAATTACGAAGAAAGTATAACTAGTTGCGAAGGAAGTGTTATTAGCAATATTCAGAAATATAGAAAAATTACGGGATTTAAAAAGATGAGTTCTATTCTCGTCACATGGCATGCGACGCCGACCATATCGGCACAAAAACGCCTATCGTGATCGTATTTGATGCGTCGCAGACAGAGAAGGGGTTAAAATGCATTAACTTTCTAGCTTTTGCCCAAAATTTTTTTGAAGTTGAATAATGTTTACATCAAACTGTTCTTAAATATTGCTTCCATGTAGATACTTTAAAACATACTACTAATAGATAAAAGTACTATAAACGTAAACACCTTGTTGCGTACATGTTTTTCTAGGTGTTATTCAATAGCAAAATGCCAAGAAAATAACACTCTTAAATAATTTGAAAATGAGGCCTATATTTATATTTCTACAAACACTTCATTTTTAGGATTCGATTGAATTTCATATTTAACACTTATAAAAGTAACATTCAAAGCAATTAGTGTTAATGCCTTTTATTTCACATTTAAGGAATTTATAAATTACTATTCTCCCTCTTAATTCCCTGAACTTGTTTTATGCACTTTATTTCAATTTTCAGGAATTTACAAATTACTGCACTCCTAATTAATTTTCAGAACATTTTGAAGCATTTTATTTCACATTTGAAAACTTATATATTACTGGTTTCTCAATTAATTCCTAGAACTTGTCTTATGTATTTTATTTCACAATTGGGAAGTTTATAGATTACTATTTTCCTAATTAATTCCCGGAGTTTGTTTCTTTTTCTTTAATAACGTTCTTTAAAATATGATAAAATCGTGTAAAAAAGAGGCTTTTTTTATTCTAGTAGCGTAAATTCTGGTTTTTAGATTAATTAAAAAAATGTCACCCTATTTAAATCTCCGTTTCTCTTCAATTGTAGGGTAAAATGTATTGAAACTATAAGAAATGGTTGACGTTTACCCAAACAACACCACTTGTGGATAATATTTCAATAAATCTTTCATGCTGAGTTCTGTTATATCGTAAAAAAAGCTACATGTCATCACTTTTTCCCTTTAAAAAATAAGTAAAACGTTTCGTAAAATATAAAATTTCTACTACGCGAAAAGTTTCATGCTAACTTTCGAGACATGCTATAAGGCCTCGATATAAAAAATATAATATTCTTTGAAACAGTTACACCCAATGTCATTATAGTGATAAGTCCCCACCGATCACATGATTGATCTCCAGTTTATTTAATTGGACTTATGTTATAATTACAAAGCTTTACAACAGGTTTTTGAAATATTGTTGGCATTTAAAGAGAAAAATGTTTTTAATAAAAATTACATGTTACATTTGAATTGTACCTGATTTTTGAAAACAAACAAAAGCAAGAACAAGAGCAAATTGTTTTAAACTTTATCAAACATTCAAATAAAGATGAGTACGAAGTGGAAAAAATTTTTTGGTTAAGTTACCGTACTGTATGTTGTTTAGATTTAGGGTAAAAAAAGCATAATTCTTATAATAAAAAGAAATATATTTTGTTTCAAAAATCATTTATTTAGTAATTTTTCCTTTCATATAGTAACAGCTTACCGAAAATTCTGGTTGTCAAAACTTTTATTCTTATTGCCACACATTTAATAAAAAGTACAAAACTTAAAAATTATCTAAACCCCAAATAAAAGATTTTTATTTCATTGCTATGCTAAGGATATCTTTATAAAATTATCAAAATTCACCTCATTTGCAAAATTATAACACATAATATAAATTATGTGTTTTTTTTTGTTAGTATTCACAAAAATCTTTATCAAAGCACTATGGTAAAGGTCACCGAGTTTATAGTGCTCCCATTCAGACGGAAATACGGTACATTTTTCCATAGTCGGTAGCTTTAACCGTACTTTTTTCTCACTGCAATGAAACTGAAATGAAATAAATATTAGCGTATCACAATTTAAATATATCCTTCAATCTAAATATGACCAGTTAAATACTACTTTTATGGTACAAAAATATTAATATAATTGTTTTTTAAATGGTTTGCATACCATATAAGTACATTTATGCAATATCCCGTAATTTTAAGAAAAAATATTTAGTTTTAATTGATAAATAAAATTCAATTTAAATTTATCTTTCTTTTTGTTAAGTATTTGAAACATAAATCTAATTTTTTTGAGGGGGGTGCCATTAGTGAAGCATCGGGTGTGAAGAGCTTAATCAATTTCTGAAGTGTTTCTAAATAACTTAGTTCAAAACAATTCTGAAATTTTTCTCAGTGGAGCACTAAACAACAAATAGAATTTTTCCGTTATTAAATGGACACTGGAATGGAATGAAAAAAAAACAATCATTTTTTAAATCCATCACCAGGTTTCCTTTCAATAAAACAATTCCCACCGGGCTTTCATCGATCATATTAATCGATACGATATAGCCAATCTCCTTTCAAAAGGAAACGTCATTGATTTATACCGTCCAACATCGAAGAGATTAATAGAAAATCAGAGCTGAGAGTGGAAAAAATTCCCGGCGATATAGTTGGCGGAGAAAAAAAGTTCATCTAAGCAAGAGTCCTAATGAAGAATCTAGTGACGAAAGTGTGAAAAAAAAGAAAGGAAATATCCTTTCTGGGCCTTCATAAAACTGCGTATCTTGTCACCTCTAAGTGCTGATGTTGACGAAAAAGTTCTCTTTGTCCTCGTCATATTTCACTTTTATCCATTGATATGATCCGATTGGCCAGACGTAATGATGACCACTAGATATTGATTGTTTTGGCTTTTCCTAGGTTATGGATAATTTTTGTTTTATTGTTTGCCTTCCATGGAACGTTATAAATTAGAAAAGATTTGAAAGGCATAAGTCATCAAATAAACTTCATAGGAATTATTTTTATTAATTGTTATGTATATATTCAATATTAACTTGAGTTTCAAAAATAGCCACTGATTTTAAAAGCAAATTAAAAAATTATATTTTATAATGGCATACAATAGTTTTTGCTAAAGCAAACAAATTGATCTGATGTTGCTCTCAATTAAATTGTAAACAAGTCTGCTTCAGGAACGAAAAATTTATTCTCAACAAGTACTATTATTTATCAACGTGTGCCAACAGATGGCGCTTCTAACTGAAGTAAACCATAAAGTAATATTTTCTTTTGCAATTCGAATCATTCCAACTGAAATATTACTATGGACTTCACATAATGGTTATTTAAGAAACAAAGCTTCATATTTTTTATCATTCAAAGGAGACATCTGTCTAATTAGTGAATAACCTCACTCCCAAATCACTGAAAATTGCGCATTTTTTTCTCATCTTTCTTTTTGTCATACAGTTGAACATTTGTAGGATTTCATTTATTGGTTTTAGTAAATAAATCTTAATATTAAATCAATCAACAACTGCAATATTGTATTGTGAATTCGCTATCGTATTTCTGGCTTTATATATAATATAATTAAGGTTTTTTAGGTATTATTTTAATGACATATTCAAAAAAATTTATGAAAACATGTGGACTTTTTTCCACAACTGAAACTTACAAATACAGAGATGGTTTAGACAGAATACTAAAAATTAATTTCGTGCATTAGAAAGTATGTCATATATTGTAAATAACCTAAGGCAGATATTGTAATCTTAGTTTTAAGAAAATTATAAATTTATTAAGTGGAACTTTTAATAAATATTTATACTTCAAGAAGTAATTTTGCGATACAAAATGAAATACAGTTGACAAAATGTTATACGTTTCAAATAAGATACAAAAATATACTCTTCTTAAAAATTTTCTTATGCATTAAAAAAAATTTTTTCAAAAGAATTCACAGGGCTTCTGTACTGTAAAGAATATATTTTTAAATTTTGTGTCCTGTTTTTGTAAACAACAATAATATTAAAACTTCTGTAACAGGTTTAGTTTTCTTACAACATCTTTAAAAAATATATATTATTTTTCCACACAACTTAATTATGATGTACACCAAGCATTATTCACCATTCACGAAATTAGCAGAAAAATGTATTCGAATATAGATTCATGACGTGCAGTAAAGTTTTTTTCGTTGATTATAAAAATATTCAAGAATTATTTTTACAAAATTCTTATCTGAAAACTAGCTTCATATAATTTGTCATGAAGTTACATGCAACGATTGCAAATATCTTCACCGAACATTTTTCAAATATTTGCACGTTATTCTTAAAATAAAATTTAACACGATTGAAAAGCGACTTTTGAAAATCTTTGCTATTACTGAAATGAACTTTTTTATTTTGACTTAAGTTTCATTTTAAGAAATTTCACGAAAAATTGTTTTTACATGTTCCGTTTTTTCTTCCTTGCAGCTCATTTGATTTTCGGTGTAATCCGAATGCTCATGATGGATGTACCAAGTCCCACTACACAAGGTGAATCTGTTGAGCTGATTTGTAGTTATAGGTTAGATGAAGACAAATTATACTCAGTGAAATGGTACAAAGACGATGTCGAATTCTACAGATATGTACCCAACGATTGGCCACCTGGGCAATTCTTGCCTCTCAAAGGTGTCAGAGTCGATGTAAGTTATTCAAATTAATTTCTTTTTTTCAATTTTAACCCTTTGACTACGAATTTTAAAAAAAAATTATTCAAAAGGACAAAATAGGTCACAAATAAGGCAAATTTAGTACTTGGGATTTTTTTGACAAGCGGTTATCAATTTAGAGGCTGGGACATATATGTCCCAGCCGTACTTAATGGGGGGATACATATGTCCCACCTGTAGTGATCAACTGTTATTGGGACAAATGAGTCCCGTTAGTAGGGTTAAAGTGCAATGTAATTGCTTTTTTCGGAAATTTCTATATAAACCATTCATTGTTGTTGTTTTCAGCCATTAAGGCAGAGGGGATGTGATTGACACACAATTATAATTCATTAATTAATTTAACCAAAGATAATTCCATGCAAAAAATAACTCTTAATAAATATTTATTATTTTATGAGATTTTATAAAATATTTTAAAATGTAAGGTATACAATTTCTTACATCATTTTAGGAACATAATTTTACGTGGCAAAATACGAAGTCTTAGTGAAATCGGTCCTGAGAAAAATCAAATTTCAAAACAGTCGTATTTTAAAAATTCAACTAATATTTTAAAAACCATTTATGATGAGAAAATTAAACATGCGGAAATTCTGATGCAAGATTTTTATCTTTTTGTACAGGTATCGATAAATGACTTAATTAAATTGTTATAAGCCATAATTAATTTTATAAAATGTATTTGGAATGGTAATATTCCTTTTTTTATTCAGCGAAAAACAATATTCTTTCAACGAGGCTTTTAAGTGAAAATATTCTAATTAGTAAAATAATTAGCTATTATTTATGAACTGCTATGCAATATTCTAGAAGTTTACAAATTTATACAAGTTTTTACAGTATCTTTAGATGAAGATATATCTATGCTTATTATTCAAGTAAATGAAGATAAAATTACATAGAAGGGTTATCAGGTTAACCATGCGAATTAAGGACTATTATGCGAATTAAGGGTTTGAATCCCTGTACTGTCGGGCAAACCATGAGAGGAATTCGTGGTTTTCTTTTCATGTAACGTAAATGATGGTTAGTTCTATCAAAAAGACTTTCACGAAAGCTAGTTTGTCCTAATGCTTGATCCAGAAACTCTCTTGTCTTCTAGATTAGTTTCAAAATTACAGCATTGGTAGACAAATAAACTCAGAATTGGGTCGACTGTATATAGCCAGGTATAAAATAAAATCCTAAACTATCACTTTTAAGTTGAGGGGATAGATTGTTTGCCTCCCAATGTGGGGAACCGAGTTCTAATCCCAGCGATAGCTAATCGATACAAATTCCGCACATGACTCGCACCGGTATACAATGCTGATGCAAAGTATCCTAATTGGTAAACGGATCATAATGGGTTAGATTCCCCTTGCCACCGGGCTAACCATGGGAGGTTTTCCTAGTTTTCCTTTCCATGTAACGCAGATGTGGGTTAGTTCTATCAAGGAGTCCTCCACGAAGGAAAATTTCTCACAATACTTGTTCCTGGAGTTCCCTTGTCTTCTCGATTGGGTTCTAAAAAACAAGGCTACAGAGTTAAAGTTTAGCTGTCGTAAACTGAAAATTGAGTCGGTTGTTCAACGACTGTTATAAAATAAAATATTTAATGAATTCTTATGCATCCTATAAAACACTTCATAAATGATTATTCTAAAGTGTTTAAAATTTGAATTCTAGAGTACATATTGCGTATTTAATAATATTATTTTCACCATTTTCCATTGAAAGCGTTTTCTCCTCAGCGAACATTTTCCGCTCATTTGAATAATTAGTTCTGAGACACCTCACGTCTTAATGGATATTTTGCTAAATACATTTTTTCCGGGTGACATATTTTTCTAAACATCTACTTTAGCTAAAAATGATTTATTTCACTCAATATGAGAATAAGCTTCAAAAACACAACCAACTAATGAATGCGATAATCCATAACGCGAAGTAAATGAAGCAATTTAGAAGATGTCACTTAAATAATTCTAAATTCTTCCCCAAAACAGCAAAAGAATTTTATAACACCTAGGCAATTACTCAAGGAAAAATAATTACCCTGACCCTACTACCCTCAAAAAGAAAAATTCCTGTATTCTTGTTCCTTCAAAAGTATGCCTGAAGAGCGTGCCATAATTTTTCCACCGATTAGCCTGTCTCTTGTGACAGGAGGCAAAATATATCACCTTAAGGCTATTAAGGGGCTAAAATTCGAGAACCTTCGCCCTAAACAAATTGGAAGGAACACTCTCGAACAGGCTCTGCTCCATTAACAATCTTTCACTTGCAGCTCGTCTTATCATAATTCAAGAAATTGTGCGAGACTCTTACTAGCGTCTTAGTTTCTCCTCTCTCAAGATTTGTGGAAAGTGTTTGACTAAAATGTTTCAAAACTGGGAAGCGTTAATTGAAGTGACGCGTTTTTTTTTGTTGAAGATGTTGCTTAATTAAAGAGCTTGAGTTTTTCTGACCGATTTTGAAATATGCTTTCAGTTGAAAAGTTGCTCTTTATGTAAAACTAGCTTTAAAAACGGAGGGAGAGGAAAAAAATGTATTTTACGCTAATCACTTTTTTAATATTAAATTTGGCTTTCTAATAAGACTTCGTGTATTTTAATCACAAATAAAATTTTACCAATGAACACTGCAATAAATTAATTTAACCTAAATCGTGTTGTGACATTTTTTAATAAGTTTTGTCACTTGGAAAAGCTTGATGCATGTTTTTTATTCGCTATAAGCGTGTCTCTTTATACCCCAAAAAACTAGACATTCAATTTCAGGAGAAATCTCTCCTTGCTTAAAGTTCCGGATCAAATTACGGAAAAAATACCTGCAATCAGAGTGGCCGGTATTTCTTACTGTAAATCCATCTTTACCAAAACATTTCACGGAGCAAAAATATCTGATATGCAATAATTTTTAGAGTTATAATCACCGTAAAATCACTGAATCACTCTAATTAAATGAAATATGATTGAACATTTGCAATTCAAAGTTTTAAGGTAAACAGGAATTCTACGATAAAATGGATTTTACGGATGATGTAACTACAGTGCCGGTACTCTATAACGTTATTAGATCCGGAATTTTTCATAGTGTTTTTGATAAAACCAGAATGAATTTGCGTTCTATAGAGCTAAGAATCACGATGACTTCACATGATAAGCTGAGTGGGCCGAACTTTAAACCATGATCCGCCTGTTGGAGCATTTCATGCCAGCTCTAGGGTCAGCGCGTTTCGTTTGTGGTATATAAAATTATCAGCTATAATCGAAAATTAAAAGTTGTTAATCAGTAGTAAAAGTGAGACATATGCTCTCAATCTTCATAATTTCCTTAATGATATGTTTTGATTCATATCTCAATATATAACAAGAGGTATTATCTTACGTTAATTCAAGAAAGTTTTCAGGCAACATACATTTAAGGACGAACAACAGAGTAGCAATAAAGGAGGATTTCAACTATAGTGATAAACATTGTTTAATATTAGGTTTTTAAAAAAATTCTGCAGCGCCCTTGCAGCATCCCTTGCAGAAAGGTCTCGTTTACAGTAATAACGAATCAAAACCCGAAGTTCAGTTTTATACAAAGTCATATAAAGCTTATTGAAGAAAGTTTAAACCAAAAACACCAAAAAACAACTATACAAAAGGAAAATTTATAAGTGTTGCAGAATTTTTTTAGCAGCCTAATACATTTTTTTTAATTTTGTTGTGCAGATTTTTATCCTCATTTTATTATATAGCACAGGGTGCGTAGCGCTTTTAAAATGTGCTTAAAAGAGTGCTTATTTTTGAGTTTCGTTTTTTAAAAGCCCATCAAGGTGCTTTTTTTCGTTGGGTGTTTTTGAAAAGTGCTTAATTTTTCCTTTCTCAAAATGAGATTTTTCCTTTACTATGTTGATTCTCGCTTCGAATTATGCAAAAAGACACAGTTCACATTGTTCTATTCAACGTTTTCACAATTAATTCAACCCCAATCTATTTTGGCGCATTGTCAGTTCGTAACGTATGAAAACGTCATTTGTTTCACGTGATTCAAAATTTCATAATTTTTGACAATTGTCAAAAACAATGCAAAGAAGGTTTCTTTTTTTTTGATATGACGGTTAAAACAAGATAAAACCGTCAATTGTCAAAAACTTTTCAACCCTGCCAAATTATGATATTTTTTAAAAATGATAGTGCTTAAAAATATTTTTTGAGTGCTTGAAAAGTGCTTAAAAGGTGCTTATTTTTTGTTGAATAATTTGGCTACGCACCCTGTAGCAAATACAAAAATTAAAAAAATAGCGTTATGATACAATGTTTGTAACTTATTTTTCTAAATTATCCACATCATCCAAATTTAATTTTGATTTTTTTTAGATTATTTGAATGCAGTTTTCTTTGCAAGTAGGATTTTTAAAAAATAATTTATATTAAGCAAAATCAGTTGTTTTGAAAAAAATAATAAAAAAATGACATAAAATAGGTTACATTTTCGTAGATTAATCAAAACCAATCAACCAAGACGAATCATTATCCCTGTATTGAAATTTAATTACTTAGGGTATACTTACGTTAATTGGCATTTGTAAAAGTGTTATAACTTTTATTATTCAGTTGTGACACACACATACATTGGATTTGTTTTAAGCATTTGCGAAAGTGTTTTATTTACATGCTTCAGGCAACAGAGCGTTAACTGAAGCGAAGTATTTTTTGAAATTTTCTGCTTAATTAAACCCTTATATTCTTCTTACCAAATTTGAAATGTATTCTTACATGAAAATCAATTCTTTAACGGTGATTTTCGAAACTCTACCGAAGCGAAGAAACCATAACTCTGGTTATACAAACTAAAATGTTCAGTATTTAAACCATTCATTTGGTAATTTTTCTGTTCATTTGGTAACGTTTTACCAGAAAAATAATTTTTGAAAATTATGGCTAGTAAAAAAGACTTAGTTTAAGTGCTTTACACTTGAGGCAATTCGATGATTT